GCAAGGCAAGGACTATCGGATGATCTTTCATGAATGGACTCAAGTGGACGCTGCAATTCCAATGAGATCGGCTAATGATTTCCCGGAGCCCTTCCCCTCTCCCTCTATCAGTATGGTAGAATTGGGATGGTATGGGGCATAGAGGGGAGAAAGAATAGAGTTTTCTGGCTGTAGGGGGATATGGAATGGGAGAGGGGAGAGACTAGGTTTGGTAGCAGTATTTGGCGCTCCGGTCAGGGTGAAGAGGTCCTCCCCCCCCTTTCAACTCCTTTCAACTTCTTTTACTTTCTGCCCAAGTACCCTGCTCAGTCAATCCCCTGGACGCCAGGGCAATCAATGCTGGCAGGGATCACAACATTGTGGGTCTGATGTACAACTTTGTATAAGGGACGCTGGACCCGCTTTCCAGCAGGTGTAGCTCCCCACCAATAGATGGAGCCCTCCCCCGAGTGGTAGTGGTGGCTGCTCATATCACCACCACTAACACCGGGGGGTGTTTCTCGTAAAAAAAAAAAAAAAAAAAAAAAAAAAAGGGATTCCGTGCGGCGTCGTTACACGCAATCCTAAAAATCATCTTTTAGGATTCGTCCTAAAAGGTCTCCCGCGGCCGGTTTTCATATGTGCATACGCAGCCGCGTCGTCAATGTCCGTCCATTCCTGCCAATGTCCGTTCAATCCCCGCCAACGGCTACCGTTCGTGGCCGTTGCCCGCGTCGACCCGCAGAAAACCTCCGACCACTGACCCGACGGACCGCTTCTGCACCAGCAACTCCGTGTCGACGGTGCCATCGCGCGACGCAACGAGTCCGTGAAACGCGGGAATCCTAAATTTTTCAGTAGGTCGGGGGCTACTGGAAAATTTAGGACGATTTTGCCTGGGGAATCCTAAATCCTTTAGGACTCGTCCGAACCCCGTTTTCACATTTTCGATCTCAAAATTGGATTTAGGATTGCGTGCAATCAAGACGCAATCCTAAAAACAGGCACTTTTAGGAGTGTCTAACGAGACCCTTATAACTCGTTTCTGTAACTCCCGCGTAGTTTCCCTAAAAAAGATCAAAAAGGGGAAACTACGCGGGAGTTACAAAAATGAGTTATAATTGCACTATGGGCCAAGATACAGTTTCGAATTGCAGTTCGGGCAATGTATACAATCCAGCTTTCTGGCCAAGTAGGGTGCCCGAAGTGCAATTGCAAACTGTATCTTGCCCCACTCTGCAATTATAACTCGTTTTTGTGACTCTACTGAAGTTACCCCTTTTTTTTTCTTTTTTTTTTTGTGCTGGGGTTGCCCGGAACCCTGCCAGGGGTCATGCCCGGCTGCGCACCCGGAAAAACAGCCTAGAAAAAAAGGGAAAAATTAAAACAATCGGAGAGACTGGGCATTATCCCCCCCCCCAAAAAAAAAGAGAGAGCCTTCTACTGGGTCCCGCATACCCAAAAAAAGAAGAAGAAAAAAAGCATAATGCCAATGCAAGATGACGAAAGATTTGAGAGAAGAGTGTAGAGTACTCAAAAAAAAAAAGAACAAGAAAAAAAAAGACCATGAGGCTGCGGTCCTATATGCCTGACAATCTTTTTCTGTTTTCCCGTTTTTCTTTAACACCCTTTCTGGCAGTCAATACCCATGATTAAAGGTGGGTGGGAAACAAAAAATGAAGTTGAATGACACCCTTGGGACACAGCACTGCAAATGTATCTGGACAGCGGTCTGGACAGAATTCACTCCGGCTGACCAGACCTTTTCTATGTACATGGTCATTTAGAATGCTGTGTAGTACAGCTAGGCCCCTTTGCCCCATAGGGATACCATTTCCAGGCTTGGTGGCCACTGAACGTAAACTTTGGGCCACATAAAAAAAAAAAAAAAAGACCGCGGCTCCCCACCAATAGACTTGGAGCGACCAAAACAGATACTAGAGGGGGCTGCTGGTACCACCCCCCTAGTACCATGCTTTGTTTGTTTGTTTTGGGTGTTTGTTTGTTATAAGGATTTTTTATTTTATTGTGGTGGCAGGAGAGGGAGGTCCAAAA